TGAGTGAATGACAGAGAGAGAGGGATATGGAGTTAGGCCCCAAATGTATGCCAGCGCATGCATCACCCCCCCCTCACTATCCTCGTCCCCCTCCTTCTCCTGGCCAGGAGCTGTTTACCTCTCTATCAGCGGTGCTCTCTAAAAGCAGGGACCCCATCCATATTCACAGGCCTCAAATTCCTCTGCTTATCTCCCCCCAACCCTTGAAAAACCTCCTCGTGTTCCCCTCTGCACATACATACATACATAAACACGTCTTTATGGAGGCAAGAGGCAAACGCGCTGGGCCAGGAGGGGGTCGGGGATAAGAATCACCTTGAATTCAAAGCAGAGGATTGTGGGTCCTCGGCGGGCGGATGGACAGGCAACAAGGCGCATAGGCTGAGGCTCACGCTGGCATGACACACAAACCACCAGACAGGTAGACGGAGGCTTTAGGCACCGGGACCAGATGTGTGCACCAGGGGCCATTAGTGATTCGGGGGTGGGGGGGGATTTGGGACAGTGAGGCGTGATGCTGTGTGTCGTCAGATGATCCGCGTCATTAGGTGATGGGTGCAGGTGCAGGTTGTGCTTTCTGCACGTTTGTTTGTGTTTAAATTGAATTGAAATGTTGCTCAAATGGTCAAAAAGTTAACTCCTGAAGCTCCACTGACACAAGGAATATCTGTTTTGGCCACTTTACAAGTTATTGAGAAATCTTAATTGGATTAGCTGTTATTCCAAACATTGAGATTTATATGAAGTGGACAAACCACTTGTGATGGTGGCTGCTTTGAAAAGAGGAGGAGTGGGGGGGGAGCAGGGAGCAGGAGACTGGCTGATAAGAACTGAAAGTACAAGTGAGGGCTCAAAGAGTGCTTGAGCAGAAGCAGAGACACATGGAGTAGGGGGGACCGGTACCCCGTTCCTCTGCAAGCTGCGTTGTTTGGGGATTGAAGTTGGGAACTCTCTCCACTACTAATTGCGCGCCGGTGCTTTTCATGAATATTCATTCTGGTGTGTTCAGACCCCGCCTAATTAGCCGGGAGATAGAGGAAGAAACTCGCACCTTTTACCACAAGAGAAGCGTTTTTCTCCCCCCCGTCGCATTCTCAGGGGGATGCTGGCAGAATAGCCCAAGTTCATTAGCCAAAAAAAGAAAGGGAAAAAAGTTACCTGAAAAGCACGGGACGATTTGGTCTTCAAAATGGATGGGCAAACAGTGTTTTCTTTTTTTTTTTTTTTTTTTTGCAATTGCATATTTAGTGCCTATTACGCATGTCTATCAAAAAAAAAAAAAAAGAGTGGAAAGGAAATACAATTATCTGATTGAGTGAGTTGGTGGATATTATTCTACTCGCTGTAGTTGGGAGGTACATCACATGAATTTTAAAATCTAAACATAGCTTGTGGCAGGTCGAAACGTTCCCCCTGGAATTGAGAAAGACTTGTATTAAACATCTAATATGAGGCCGTGGCCGTTTCGAGAAGTGTCTTATTTTAGGGTACTTTTAAGGAGGAGGAGGGGGGAAAAAATAAAAGCTGATCAAACTTTATTTTGAAATTAAATGTTCGCATATTTGGAATGAGGAAGGAAAAATAAGCTGCTCTAAAGTCTGACTGTAAAATAATGAAAGAAAGAAAAAAAACAGCGAAATGTTCCAAATAGACACTGGATTTATTTAAATATTATTCAGAATAATCGCCTTTTTGTTTTGGCATTATTTGTATCATGTTATTAGAGGGTGCAGAAAATACTGCGAGATCATTTTTGCAATCCTCCTCCTATTTGTCATGCCTCATTTTTTTTTTCTTCTTTCCTGTGCATCCTTACAGCAAAGGCAGGATAAGAAGGGGGACGTGGTTAATTGAAGGGCTGATGGGGTCCTATTGGTTGAGATGCGTTCCTGACAATAACTGCTGCATAATGAGCACAAAGATTAACACGTGACTGACTTTTTAAAAGAAAAGGCCTCCAAGCTAAATTTAAAGCAGGATTACACTCTCTGCCTTTAAACACCGTTTCCCCCCCACAAAAAAAATCATGTTTATGTCCTGTCCATTTTAACATTCGTTTTTAATCTGTGACTCCTGCTTCACAGGAAAGAAACTCTCCAACAAAAAAAAAAAAAAGTGAAGAATAAATCAGAGAATTGTGTTCTTAGGGTGACACAGAGATGACTTATTTCTGGTAAAAGAGGTCACCCAACTTCCTCGACACTCATCTCTGCGGTTCATACTCAGTGTGCGTCGTAATTTATTTCCTTTTTCTCCCCCCCCCACCCACACACCCCCAGTCTGTTTTTTGAAATCCATCATATCGTGTTCATTTCCAGCCGCTTTTTCCTGTACGGCCTGTCATTCAGCACCAAGTTTCTGTGTGATCCCTTTCATCGAGCGCACCATGGAAACCTAGTGCGTCCTGGCAAAAATGCACCTCAGCGCACACAAGGCCATATTCTTTACAAAAAAAAAAAAAGAAGGGGGGGGGCAAAGCATCTGGATCTTTCTTTTTTTCCCCCCTTCTTTCCAGCAGCTCCTCGCTGGCATGGAAAAGCACAAGACTGGGTCTGTGTGGCAGAGACCACTGCTTTTTATAGACTTGGGAGACAAGAATGACTGAATGGCGAACGCATCTTCATTAACTGAGAGCTGCATGGAGCTCCGGTCCCACATAGCAGTGACACGCAGCCACTGGGGTCTCTCAGGAGTTTAAGACGCAGAGAAAAGACCCTGACAGTAAGAAATGTCCTGGCTGGGATTTTCTCATTAAAAGAATCGCGCTGGAAAAGCGTTGTCCATCATTGTCACACGTGTTGTTTTATTTTCTGTTAATAAATTTGCGCGAGATGATTCTATAAACTGTTTGGCTAATTACACTAAATAATGTTGAAATAGCTTCCAACCAATTTGAAAATCAAGAAATGATTGTTTCTGAGTGGAAACGTGTTGGCAGAAAAAATTAACTAAAGCTTCTAAAATGAGACACATTACGCAACAGTTAGAAGACGCACTGGATGAAAATTTGACGTCTAAAAATCGGACTTTGCAAACTGATGAATTTGGCGAAAATGACGCGCGTAAAACTGGCGAGGACTTGTCTTCCACTCATCCCAAATAAATATATAAAGGATGGGTGGACAAAAACCACGCCTTTCAAGAGATGATGACGAGCACCTGTGACCCCGACAACATTTTACGCACACACACACACGCGCGCTCACACAGACACACACTCCGCTACATTGTTAACGCTGTGGAAGACAAGAGTACAGCAAGGACAGCAGCCACCGCAGAAAGGAGACAACTTACCTTTTAGTCATGTAGTCCCGGATTAAAATGAACACTAGACTTGAGTCGTCCTGTAAATAGAAAGAGGAGAATAGTCGCATTGTGGGGGGGTGGAAAGGAAAGATGACAACAAACAAACACGCGGCAGAGATAAAAAAAAAAAAAAAAAGGCAAAACATTGCTTTCAGGTAAATGATTAAAATGGGACTGTTGCGCCTGAAAAACCTTCCAAAAAAGCTCCTGTTTTAGAAGGAGCGGAACATGCGCCTGATTGCAGAGTTTTAGGCGAATGGAACGGGAGAGATGTAAGATTTGTTTAAAGCCCCGCATTTCCATTTAAGAACGTGATTGTGTTTGCAAAGATCCCTTTCAATCTTCGCATCCCCCCCACCACCACCACCATCCACCCCCCCTTCTCTCTCTCTACCCCTCAGCGTCTCTGAGGCTGCTTTGCAATTCATAGAATTGGTAATTTGCTATTGGGACAAAACGTGAAGGGAAAAATAATCAGATCAACCGGGAGAGGTAGTGAGGAAGGAGCCAGGAGGAAGAAACACAAGGTTTCTCTCTCCAAGTTGCTGCTTAGTAAAATGCTTGGAGAGGTAAATGATATAGAATAGAGCCTATTTTATTTTTTCCTCAATCGGTTAGATCTAAATTTCCAGGGCTGGGGAAATCCACAACAGCTTGGCAGTGAGGATACAGTGTCATATAAGAGGAAAAGACCTGCTCTGTTTTTATGGTGTATTATGAATGATAATGATCAGATGTGGCAATCAACCCTGATAACGGCCATTAGGTTCAGGATTTTCAAAATAAGATGAGTAAATAGTGAATAATATGTCACCTCTGTCACCTGCACTCTGTGGAGGGGGGGAGGAGGAGGAGGAGGCCAGGGGGTGGTGGAGGGGGGGGTTCTAGAGAGGGAAAGAGCGTATCTTGGCCTATCATAACTAAGTGGGTGGTGATGATGAGATCATACAACATTGAAAATTACCGAGACAATACAAATAAATGACAGACGCGGAGGCTTTGAAATAGAGCAAATGCTTTCAAATTTGTCACACGTTTACAACAGCGTTCACAGACACATCACACGGGCTTATTTACACGCCTCTAGTCGTGTGGGTGGCTGCAGAGCTGGAGCATCACGCCTTATAATCTATTTAAAATGAGGAGCGCTATAATCATCAGTGACCTATTATAAAGGTGCACGGCTGCGTGTCTCTTAGTGCGTGTGTGTGCGCGTGTGTGTGTGTTTGGGTGGGGGGGGCAACCCTTCAAAAAGATCTCCGTACTCCCCCACGTGGTTATTTGCAAAACAACCGATCCGAACCCGGGGAAACCTAATCAAACCCCGCTGCTGCTGCTGCTGCTGCTGCTGCTGCAGCCCGGTTCACCTTCCACAGAGGAAACTGGAGAAAAAGATCTAATGGATGGACATGATCTGTGAGCAGGTGAACCAAGTCAGAGGCGCACTGTTAAAAACTCAAAGAGACGTTTAATAAACAGAACATATGTTTTTTTGTGTGTAAGATATGTAAGATCGGAGCTCTATCCATCGTGTGCGAAAAATGCGCTGCACCATGCTCTGAAACCCTGCGCCTATGAATATGTCCCTAGTGGGCTCGAATCGGAGAGGAGCCAATACAAGCGGAGGGGAGGCGTGTCCTCGCTCTCCTCCAAGACCTCCCAGAGCAGGTTGTTGCGTTTTGGCTCTAAAGCCTGGAGACCTCCGAAGTGCGCGTCAGTTTTCGAAGTAGGAGCCATGGCGACAACAGCTCAGTATATTCCGAGGAATAACTCCTTACCGTCTAACCCGCTCATGCATCCGGATTCGGATAGGATGCACCAGGGGACGACCTACAGAGAGGTGCAGAAAATGATGCACCACGAGTACTTGCAAGGTCTTGCGGCGACCAACACGGGACACCCGATGAGCCTGACGCACCACCAGTGGCTGCCCACCTCCAACACCGACTGGTCCAGCGGCACCCACATCGGACAGCAGGAGCACAAAGCCAGCGTGCAGGCGAGCAGGGAGGACCTGAGCAGCGGCTTCCACCACAGATCTCACCTGGTGCACCAGCAGACGCAGAGCGGTCACCATGGTTCGTGGGCGCCCACCACAACGCACCACTTGTCCCCGCTGTCCCCAGCATCCAACGGCCACCAGTCGCTGGTCTACTCCCAGCCTGGATACACAAACCTCAACGCAATGCTGAGTCCCCAGCCCGGCTCCCTGCACCATGGCATGCGGGACCCACTCCACGACGATTCGGGCAGCCACGACAACCAGATGGAGTCGCCCCAGCAGGCTTTCAGCCACCACCAGGACCACTCGGACGAGGACGCGCCCAGCTCCGACGACTTGGAGCAGTTCGCCAAGCAGTTCAAGCAGCGGCGGATCAAACTGGGCTTTACGCAGGCGGATGTGGGCTTGGCCTTGGGCACCCTCTATGGAAACGTCTTTTCTCAGACCACTATCTGCAGGTTTGAGGCGCTGCAGCTCAGCTTCAAGAACATGTGCAAACTTAAGCCGCTCCTTAACAAGTGGCTGGAGGAGACAGACTCAAACACGGGCAGTCCCACCAATTTGGACAAGATTGCTGCGCAGGGCAGGAAACGAAAGAAGAGGACCTCCATTGAAGTGGGGGTGAAAGGGGCGCTGGAAAATCATTTCTTAAAATGCCCAAAGCCATCTGCTCATGAAATCAGCACTTTAGCCGGCACTCTGCAGTTGGAAAAAGAGGTTGTCCGTGTTTGGTTTTGCAACAGAAGACAAAAAGAGAAAAGAATGACACCAGTGGGGGTCCCTCACCCGAATATGGAGGACGTATATTCCCAAGCAGAGACCCCTCCTCTACACCGCACACTACAGAGTCCTGTGCAGTGACTGTTTTCATGAACAATTCGAGCATTTCCGTGGGGGGATAGAAAAAGGGAAAAAGGGACTATGGAGTTTACAGTATTTAAGTTTGGCTTTTGTTTTCCTGAGAGAAAAGAGACATGGAAAAGTTGAACAGATCAGTTTTTGCCTTTAGTGTTCGGAGATCGTCATGTCCAACAAATAGATGAGGGAAGAGGGGCAAATGTTAAGGAAAGGAAGAAGAAGAAAAAAAAATGAAGAAAAAGACAAAAAAATATTCGCTTATTACTGATTCCGTGCGCATTTAAAGTGAAACAAAGATCTTTATTTACCAAAATTATATGGAGGAGACATGCATATAAAAGTAAATTTGATTATCCCATGGCTGTTCCAAATGGGGAGTAAATTAAATGTGGCAACTGAGCCCATCTCCTCCTGGTGTACCATGAACTGTTGGCGCTCACCAGAAAGAGGTGGTTGCCTGAAAAATGAACAACACTGGAGACGAATAGCCTACACTGAATGAACATTTTGATTTCTTTTTTTGCTTTTTCAGGCGTAAACTGATTAACCAGATTTCTGAATATTAGTGTATACTTTCTTTGTTATATTATTAAGTGTGATGTTTTGGTTTTGGAGAAAAAAAAATACTTTAACTTCAGTGTCTCTCTCTTTCTACAGAGTGTCTATGATTTCGTTTCATTATTATTATTATTATTATTTTTTGCTATAGGTACTGTAACTCATCAGAGCAGCCTCTAATTTGTTTTTTTTTTCCCTGTTTACTCAGTGGGAGATGATGGTGGAGAAGTGATGGAAATTGTGGCACCCGAAAACACTCATTTAAAAAAAAAAAAAAGAAGAAAAGAAAAAAAAAACAACAACAACGTCAGACACATTTCAGAAAATGTCCAATGCAACAGGACGTCTAAGTTCTGACTGCATGCCTTAAAAAAAAATAAAAAATAAAAATTAAAGCTTTGCAGCTGATCACGTCGAAATTTGCAAAACAGCACCAGACGCTAAAAGGGCAATTCTAAACACGGATTTATTTTCTTCTTGTTTTTTTCTTTATTTTTTTGTGGGATGGGGAGGGAGGGGAGGGAGGGGGTTGATTGTTTTCAAATAATTGTTTTATTTGCATGGAGCACTTATTCTTTTCGTTAATATTATTATCGCAATTTTATGTGTGTTAATAAAATTGTGAGTGTAGCTGATGTGATTAGGCTGGAACACAGAAGCCTACAGCCCATGTTTACAGGTTCCTGGTTATCACCACAGAGCGCTGTCAGCTCACACTGCTTACTGCCTGTTATCCTGTTGTATTCCAAACATTTTCAAGAGAGATTGGTCAAATACGAAATGAAAAGTAATAATAACTCAGGTAACTTCAGTGCCCCCCATGTCGGAATATCACGCCAATACATGATTTATTATGTTATTTTATTTTTTTGTTTCTCTGTGTTTTTAAAAATGTTCTAATCTGGTTTCAACACCGTTTCCTTTGTCCCCAGAAATCCATTTGTATTATATATATAAAAACAAAAACAAAAAAAACGCTGGAATCGGAGAAATTCCTTAAGGGGTAAAGCGACGAAGGGATTTACTTTAGATATATTTATTTTGTTCCCCCCCTCCTCCCCTCCTCCACACACCCCACCAACCCCCACGACCTGTAAGGAAATCTGAAAATCTCATGCGTTGTTGTGTCATTTCTCAATGTTGGACCAGTCCAAAAAGCCTACAGCAGTGCTATTCAATACAGATGAGGGAAACTTTTTTTTTTTCAGGAAAAAAAAATTAAAAAATAATAATAATGAGAAAAGAAAAAAAAAAAAAAGATTTTAGAGAAAAATGTTGCCAGGATTATTTCCGATATGTAAATATGTCCAATATGTAAACTTGTATTTGTTCTGAGATATTGTTTTGTTTTTGTTTCTTTCCGGGCAGTTTTGTACACTTACTAATTCCAAGAAGATATTTTAATATGATTTCATTTATGAATCTGACCATTTATATATATATATTTATTTCTTAAAAGTGTTTGGAGCTTTTTTGTTTAGCTCTGTTAATGGTTATGTTGCAGTGGATTTCAGTATGTTTTTTCTCCTTTTTGTTTACTACATTGGTTGTATGTTGATTGCTAAATGTAGACTGCAAAGTCACATTTATATTTATGTTATAGTAATATTTTATTACTTACATAAAACATATATACAAGAAATGGTCTTTTGTCTTCATTAAGATCCAAAAACCACTCGTCCTTTTGTTGCTGTCTAATTGTGGCATCACCAAGCAAACAAGATTTGAAAAAAAATAAAATAATAATAAAAAAACATGATCATAAAGTTTAATGCTGTTCAGTGGGTGAGCACACCATGTGTTCATTTTTAAATAGCAGTGATTGGTTATGTAACAGGGGATCGTTTAAAATCAGAAGCTGTGTACATGTGCTGTTAAGGGGAATAGACACCAGTATTTTACCTCAGGCATTCCCTGCTAAGTTCACAGTCTGTGACGTTGTTCACATCTTTGTGTAATCGCAGTATTAAATTGTGCAATATTAATACGGAATTACTGTCTTTTCATTGAGTGGTTATTCTGATTGTTATTAGTGTTGTTGTTGTTGTTGTTGTTTTCTTATACGAACAGCAAAAAAAAAAAAAAGAATCTTCAGTTAACCATCTCAACTGTTTTCCTCAGTATATATAAACCATCAGTTTTCAGCATTTAAAAAGCGAATCGTGACAAATGTTTGATGTGAAGGAGGGCCTGCAGGCAAAATAAAATAAAATCATCCCCCTTTTTTCCTCCCCAAAGATGGAGAGAGAAAAAAACACATATAGGATCAACATAAGCTACAGGCCCTAAAGTTGCACAGGACAGGTGCACATTCACAGGCAGCTCGTTTTAAAGACATTTAGGATCTAAATAAGCAGCTGATTTCTCTAAATCATAAATTAAATGTAAAGGTGAGGCCCTTCTGTCCTCCGTACAGTCACGGGCCAAAGCGATGTTTGTACATTTGTGCAGCATGCATGTGGTGACATTCACTGTAAGCGTTCATATATACATCATATATATATGTTTTTTTCTCTCCATCGCGCACACGGTTTCTTTTATACAAATTTGAAAAAAAAAATCACCGCGAAAAGTGAAAAGACAATTCTGCAGTGCATTGGAGAAGCTCACAGCTTCACCAAGAACTTCATCAAGAACAAGTTATTTCTAATAGTTCATAATTTCTATCTAACGAGGCTACTTTCCCAATAAAAGTGATCCAAGCCGAATACGCAGCGCAAAGTTGGACACTTTCGTTCACTTTCCTGACAAAACTCAACTCCAAATGTGTTCAAACTGACATTCATTCAGCTGTTGTGAATTTTCCAAATCCGTTCGTGCACTTAAAGCCTCACATCCGCGAGCATTTCCATTCGATTTTGCGCAATTCGCTTTTTAATTTAAGAGGATTTTGTGTGCGTCATGCAAACAGCCGTGATGTGAGAAACAACAAAGTAACACAAAGTAACAGGGCGCACTAGAAACACGCAGATTTGATTTTTTTTAAAAAAGAAAATCGGCCTTTTGTGCTGCTGTGATGTAAGTGGAGGGGGAAAAAAAAGTGGTTTTGCAGTGGCTGAGGTGGTCAAACTGAGGCAGAGGAGGCCACGTTAAGGAGCACACCAATTACCAGGAAACAGCGAGTCACAGGCGCCCCCTGCTGGCAAAACTGAGATACTGCCACATCAAAGATCTGCCTCAAAGTTGAACACAAATGAACACAATGGCAACCAAAAAAAGAAAAAGAAAAAAGAATGCAATGATAATATAATCATGATCAACAACAACAGCAGCTTATTGTTTGTATTTGTGCTTTGAAACAAACACCAATCATCCTCACAAGAGTCAATAACAGAGATTATGTTGTATTCTCTTTTGTCAGCGATCAAGCTGATAAATAATCTCATTTAGGCTAAAGTCTATGACACAGATGGATAGAAGCTGTTGTAAATGCATGAGTAAATGTGCACAAACAGCCCAGTTAGCCTGCTCACAATCTGTCTTTGACTACTTCTTTGCAACAAGGGCCAGACCGGCAGACATTGGGTTCCATTATTGAAAGTATTAAATGTGATTCAGTCAGGGATCAAACATGAACCCGCCCGATATCAGAACAGTGACCGGCTAAAGATGGACTGAAATGCAACGCAGCGCACAGAGGCCTACAGAGCGGTGGTAGATGGTGGAACAGAAGGAGTCCACAGTTGACCAGACAAGAGAGACTGTAGTGACTCACACCAACTGTTATTTTTTGATGATATGCAATTTTTATTCTGCACCGTATGGAGGGACACAACCTCCATTATGCCGTTAAATCAATAATACATGAGGAGAACTCATCACAAAACAGCAAAACCCAGCTAGTTGACCCACGGATTGCCACGGTCCGTTCTTCCCTCTCGTCCTCCCCTCTTCCCCCTCTCAGCAGTGTGCTCTCCTGCTCTGAGTGGGCCCTCGGCAGCACTTGCAGAGGAGCTCCAGCCTCGGCGGTGCCCGCGAACACCAATGCCTCCTTCATCAGGGAAGTATCGTCACACACAGGAGATGTGGATTAGTGATGATTAGCAGGGATTATGGCTGGTTAATGGTGGGAAAATACATTAGGAACCATCGGCTCTGGGAGGGGGAGGGGATTTCACTCACGCTAGCGGATTTGCATTGATCCACAGCAAATGAATGAGGATTAGCAGCATCAAGCTATCTGCCAACAGATAAATAACATTAAGCGTATTATACGCCAACGCCTGTTATTAATGACATTACAAACACCACTACAATGCTGGCAATTATGGAAATAATAGAAGCGGCTGAATAATGTACTTGGTTTGGGATTCTTGGGATTCCAGATCATCCTCGTGTGGAGACGTGGGGTGACGGAGAGCCAAGCTACTTATTGGCAAAGAGGCATGTAGGGTTTTGGGTCCCACTTTCTACCCCGACACACTTAAAGGGATTTATATACTGTTAATGTTTTGGTATTTAATAAATCACTTGTCACTGCTTTACAACTCTGAGCTTATCAGGTTATTGTAGGAGGAAAGCCTTTATTCATTATGTACTCACTGTAAACCAACAGGTGTGTAGCCTGCAGGCCTCGAACCTGGCAGCTCCAAATCTGCCTTTGTTTACTACTCATCAAAATGACTAGTGCATATTGTTTAACCATTAACAAAGACAGCCAAGTGGGCTTTAATCTACAGTGGAACGACTTTTTTGTTCGATGCAACAGATGGTAGCCTCACGAAAATCATTAAAGACGTCGGTGAATCATTTACATTGTGTTAGTATAACCCCCCCACCAAAGTTTTTCTTTTGATATCTTCGTTCACTTTATGGTAGGTAATGTTAAAGCACTATTGGGTCAACACTAAAATATGACTGGCAGTGAATTATACATACACTGCATAAAGAGAGCATCAGGAATATGTGTCCTCATCATAACATATTACGTCTGACATATTACTCTGAAGCAGGAGCGCAGAGGCGGCTTATTCTACCATCAAACCCACATTTTTAACCTGACAGGTGAAAGAGCCTGTAGCTTTCTTACTCTCTATTACTAGCTCTTCCTCCAGCCGAGTTCTCTTCTCCTCTTCTTACCGTTTATGTAATAAATACTCCTCTCCCACAGTGAGTGGCAGAGAAAGGGGGGTAGGAGGCTGGAAAAAGAACAGAATAATGCATTTTTTCATCAAAAATTCCTTCTCTTCCCCTACCTCAAGGTTTCCTCCTCTGAGCCACTTGAAAGATGGGCAACAATGTGGCCACACAGTGAACACCTAGTTACCATATGAAACACTCCAGCAGTGAAGTGAAGGAGACGGAGAAGGGAGAGGAGAAGTCTTGTGTTATTTATGATACTGGACCTTGTAGCTATATGGGTTCTCCCTTCATGTCTACTCCGAGGTATGGCCCCCATATGCGAAGGGGTATAAGTGCAGCTTTAGAAAGTTACTCTACCCTCCCCGCTGTATCTCTTTGCTCCTCACTCAGAGGTTTTGAAGAAGAGAAGTAGCCCGTCTCCCTCTTTCATGGCTTTGAGGGACATTTTATATCGCCTCAGGTGCCTGTCAGTGTGACTAACAGTTCTGAGAGTGGAGAACTAATATCTCAGGAACTTGCCTTCAGGCAGCTGCACATAGATGTTACTGTTGGTGGCACACAATGAGACGAAAGTCATACTTTAGAGGCATTCAGTGGCAGCAATTACGACTGATTCAGTGAACTGGGTGGTATTAAACAATGATTGTGACAACCTTAGCAGGTGATAAGAACACGGTGGGAAAGGCAAGATAAATGCAATCATCTGTACTGCGCAAACTGCCTTCATTTTGTAGGATGTCTGACAAAAGGTTGCACAGGAACCCAAGGAAATGTATTTGTGTACCAAACAAAGCAGTAATAAGAATGCTATTATTTTTTAGCATTAGCGTTTCAGGACCTGAAATCGCACAGCACAGCTGCTGAGGAGGCCTTTTAGACTACTGCACAAGGTTGCAAAGTTAATTGTTGTGCCTAAAAAGACATGGCAGTCACATGTTAAAGGTTGTCCCCGCTCTTTGCCTTCAAGCAAAGCTTTTGTCAGCTGTAGCAAAAGGCGTTGCAATGTCTCTTGACTTCAATAACAAGGTTTACTGCAGAGAAGAGGGAAGGAAAAGAAAAGACAAGGCCTCACAGTAAAGAGACACACACCAGCAAACAATAGGAAGGTCATCTAACCTTAGAGCACTCTGAGATGTTCAGGGCCTTCCTTCCATCAAATGTATTCAAAAAAAAAAAAAAAAGGAGAGAAAAAAAAAACACTATTCAGAGTTCAAGAATGTATAGGAGCGGCAACTGAACCATCATGTCTGCCGCTTTATTGTAGACATATGGACAATCTAGGAAAAGGTTAGATCACATCGAGATCTAGAAAATGAAGTTCCACCTGGTCGTACACTGTTTACCAAGCCCGTAATTCAACCCTAAGCAGTATTATTTGCCGTTGTCCTTTACCCATGACTGATTCTTGGTGTTATGCATGATAGAATGGATGTTATATTGTGAAACCCCTGCAAATTGGAGCTGGACAATAAACAGATCATCAAAGATGATCCCGCTGCCCCAGACAGTCAGCTTTGCCCTGCGATGCCGAGGTTCAAAGGACGAAGATCGGTGGGCAAA